CTTTAGTCAAAAGTCACCCAGAGTTAAAGTAATTCACCCTTGCTTTTCCACCGAAAGTTGAAGGGAATAGTCTTTACCTTTGGTTAAAGCAAAAGAAGAAATCATAACAAGAGATTCCCTAAGTAATCTCTACGTCTATAAAATGGTTGCTTCACTCCAGTTCAAGGCAGAGGTTTCTTGAAACCCATATTACATACCAGAGACACAATTCTCTCCTACCTTCATTAGTAAAACCTTGTATTCCGAGATCTCTCATAATGATGCAAATGAAGAGATTCTCACTTATTCTCTTTCACTACTAGCTCATTTAGTACTAGTATTGTAAGTATTTTATTTCTGTAATTTGTATTTATATTTTGTTAAAACAAGTAAATTTTATAAGACAAAACATTATTTTGTCACATTTATTCTGCTATCTTGTGATTTTCCTAAACTCACATGAATTCTGCATATTGTTATATTTTGGTATCAGAGCCATTTGACGGCCTGGATAATTACTCATGCAGTTATATTTAAATCGTCTTACTTGTTCTAAATTTTTATAGCTTCAATTAGTAAATCAATTTTAATTTTGGTTCACCCTAATCACCCAGCCTTTGTCTCCCGAGAGAAAATTGTCGACCACTCCCGTTTTATAAGTCCTTGCGTGGGCAATTTTAGGGAAATAGACAGGTTCTGAGGGAATATGTATGTTAGGGGGTATGTATCATGACATCAAATATTAAAATTAATTTACAAAATTGAAAAAGTTTAAATTTAACAATGAGTAGATTATTTAGATCTAACTCTATGGCTAGCTCATCTAGATCTTCATTAGGTACTATACCTAATATAGTAAATGAAGAAGAACATGAGTTTGGAGAAACAAGAGTAGATTGGATTGGTTGAAATATCCCAAAGGTATCCCACCGAAACATCTACAAAACTAGTTGACTCCTTAAAACCTTTAATAAAAAATTACAAGTAAAAACTATTGAACAAGTTTATCCTCTCTTTAAGGATGAACAAAGTTGTCAACTGTTGAGTCCCAAAACCCTTAAGAAACATAGGGATAAAGGATTTAACTTTATTCACATTGGTTTAGTACAAGTGGCTATTAAACCATTAACTCAACAAGGAAAGAATTCAGCAGTCTTGTTAACGTTAAGAGATGCTAGGTTTCTTGAATATGAACCTAGTATCATTGAAATCATGGAAACATGTCTCCATAAAGGACCAGCTTATTTCAATTGTTTCCCTGACTTTATCTTAAGTTTAGGATGCAAAAATACTCCCTTAGTTTTAACCTTAGGAATAAAGCTAACAGGAAGCATCACTAAATTGGTAAAAGAAACCGAATCCATAGTACTTCTCTACAGGATTTATTATAAATGCATTACCACAAACCTGAATGTGCATGCATTGCAGAAAAGTTCTTTAGGTAGTACTACATTGATTCAAGCCAGTACTAATCAGTCACATATCCAAGCTCCTAAGCAAATCCTCTGGAAGGATGTAACGCTCCTAGAATCTTGGATAGTAAAAAATAAAAATCNCAGAAAAGTCCTTTAGGAAGCACTACTTTGATTTAAGCCAGTTCTAGTCAGTCACATATCCAAGCCCCTAAGCAAATCCTATGGAAGGATGTAAAGCTCCCAGAGTCTTGGATAGTAAAAAATGAAAACCATGATAAAGACAGTGAAAATACAACCACTGACTTAGAGAGCATCCACCAGTTAGAGGATGGCTCAGTAAGAATCTCCTTTGATTCTGCAAGATCCATTATATCAAGCAGATTCATAAATAAACCTGTTCAAATCTGTGAAGGAAGAAAATCTGAATCTAGTTTTAGACTCTCTAAAAGAGACCAAGAAATAGATAAAGAAATTCAA